CCCGGATGTTTTTATTTTCCTGGTATGGCCACTAAGTGCCAAGGCCTGTTTTCCTAAACACCCCGTGACCTCCTGGCACATTTTACTTGGGGGGAGCCCAGGCACAGCACATCCATGCTGGAATGTCCAGAGTGCTGCAGAGCCAAGGTGGGTGCCAGCACCCTGCAGAGACTGAGGGTCACAGGAATGCTTGGCTGACCCACGGATGCTGAAACCTGCCCTGGTGCAGAGCAGCCACAGCCAGGCTAAACGGCCTGGGAGAGTGCCAAAGGAGCAGAGAAAGGTCTGAGCAAGGATGAGAGCAGGTGAGAGAGGGCAAGAGGGCATGAGAGCCCAACTGAACCATGACGTGGGGCTGCCCGGAGCACAGAACCCATCCCATGACTGGGATACACAGACCATCCCACAGCAGGTCCTGTTCCATGGCAGGGAACCCACAGACACCCTCCAAACATGGTTGTAGAGCCCCTGTGAAATACAGAGCCTCAACGCTGGGATGGGAATGTTTGTCCCCAGCGAGGAGGGTCAGGGTGAGGGTGCTGAGGCCAAGGACACCCACAGAAGGTACAGGACATGCCAGCATGCCCCACAGCCCGTGCTCCTCTGCTGGCATCGAGCTCCATCCAGCAGGCAGTCGGCCTGCAGAGTAAGGGGACATCAAGTTTTTCACCATGTCCCCTCTGCTTTGTCCCCTTTTTGGAGCAGCAGCCTCATTGCTGGTGGGGCTGGGTCTGATCCCACCTGAACTCCAGCCTCTGTGAGCTGTCCCATCTGGATTACCAGCTGTGGGATGAGGGATGACATCGKACAGTTGTCATTCCCTGGCTAGCCCATTGTCCCCCTTCCCAGCTCCTGGCTGCCCATCTCTTCCTCACCCCAGGGTCTGATCATGCCAGTGGGGAGTGAGCATTCATGAGTGGTCATCACTCAGAGCTGGCATCTACCTGCGCCTGCCCTGATGTTCTGGGGGCTCTGGGCTGTGAAGCAGAGGAGAGGCACTCACGTCCCAAAGCTGCCCCAGGGTCCACAGCAGCACCCAGGCAGTTTGGTCCAGTGATAAAATGGGGTTGCGGGGTTTTTGGATTTTTTTTTTTTTTTTTTTTTTTTTTTTTTTTGTTTAGAGAGAAAATAAAATACCTTTGGGGAGCAGGAGCCAAGCTCCCCAGTGCCTAAAACAGCAATCGCAGCACTTCCTTGGATTTATGGTGTTTGCTTTCACAATGCCAGCCGGGATCCTGTTTGCTTCCTGCTCTGCAGCTGCAGCCCCAGCTGAAGGCTCAGGAGATTCAGRTTTTATAACCCTCCTGGATTCTGCCGATGGTAACTTGTCCAGCATCATTTATTACCCCCTGAGCCTCCTGCAGTGATGGGGTGGGCTGCTGTCACCCCATCCCAGCACCCAGTGTCCCCATCCAAGGGGTCCCATCCCTGGCACTGGGCATTCTGCTATCCTCCTGCTGAGGGATTGCTCTGTGCCCTTGGTGGGGTGCAGCACCCGGCTTTTCTCAGGCACAGCTACAATCGGGCAGCCAGGCCAAGCAGGAGAGCTGTGTCCTGCTGGGAGGATGCTGAGACACAGATGTGACATCCTGCAGGATCCTGGGATGCTCARAGGTGGTGACTGCTCCTCARGGGCACMCACAGACAGGCAATGGTCCCTGCTGTTGGTAAATCAAAGTGACTGAGCTTCCAGAAAGGCATTTCTTCCAGCCCCTTTATCCTTTTTGCAGTTCTTCTCCAGGTCTCAGTTTTTTCCTGAGTTGTGAGACAGAGGTGGCTGCCTTCTTTCACTCTCTGCAGCAAAACTTCCTCCAGGGTGGCAGYGCAGGAGGGGGTGTCAGCTCCTCCTGCCACAGTGTCCCTCAAGAACCCAAGCAGAAACTCTGAAGCACCAAGTCCAGTTCCAGGTGCTGCTTTCCAAACTTGCCTTAAGATCTTAGTTCCTATATTTTTCATGTATCTGTAATCCTGTATTTCTTCAGTGTATAACTCTAGACTCCAGTGCTAAGCTACTGTTCTCTCATTTTAAACACAACAGTTTCTCTCTAGGCCCAAAACTCAAGGACACCTCACTGTCTCAGGCCCCAAGACATGTAAACAAYGGTGAATTGGGGGGAGCAAACTTGGAGTAAATGATTTCATTACCTGAAGCTGTAATTGGAGGATTAACCCCCAATATGCAAATGAACAAAACTTACAAAGCATGAAAAACYCTTGACTGATTATCCATTTTGGTTGTGACTGCCCTAAATGTACCTGAAGGCCCTTCAATAAATATAACTGCTTTTTATCWTCTTAATTTTGTCTAGCCTCTGTTTTTGGTAAGCCAGACTAGGCATGACCATAAGCCTCCTCCTGCACAAGCTGGACTAAAACGCTCTGGATCACCCATGGGGATGTGTGTGCTGGGGCCAGGCGGGTGTCCAGGAATGCAAATTGGGGGAAGGAAAGTTGTCAGGAGGGGGAATAGCAGGATTGACAAGCCATGGGGCACCACCAACCCCTTCCCTAACGCACAGCCACTGTGTGGATGGTGCTCCACTGCCCAGATCCTCTGCAATGTGCCCAGAGTGTCCTGACACTCTTTCCTCTTTCTCTCTGCATTTTCCCAGCAAAGCACTCTGATGAAAAACCCAATGGCCATGAACAGTGTGGTASCTTTAACCCCCTATTTAATAAACCAGAATGGCTACAGAAATCCTGGGAATGCTTGCCCATATCCCTGACAAAGCACGGGACACGCCCTTCCTCAGGGCAGAGAGATGCTGTTGCCACAGGTCTTGGAGCACTCTTCTGGCAGCCTGTCCAAGCCCTGCGAGCCTCCAAATGAAACCCACCACTTCTTTTTTTCTCACATTTGCTGTTCTTGTTGCTGAAACAATGATGGATTATTTCACTGCAGTTACTAGCATGCCAGACTTCTTTTTCCAAACACACAATAGGAATATTAATTAACTGTTCCAAAGATGAACGCTTTTATCCTCCTTATATAGAAGCAASTCTGCACCAAAGGGCAAGTTCCATTTGTCACTGATACACTGCACCATCCCGGCCCCGAGGTCAGCAGGGGGTGCCCAGCATTTCTGTGATTTATTACCAGCCTTTCCCAACAGATCTCACACTTGTTGCCATCCAGCCACCCTGCTGAGGGACACAGCGTCCCTCCAGAGGGCTGCAAGRGGGCTGGGGTAATTCTCCAAGGGGAAGAAGGAATGCAAAGCCAGGGCTGCTCCCTCAACAGTGAGAGCACAGCTTGCAGGACAAGGATGCAATGGGATGGCAAAGGGGCCCAGAGCACCAAAGAGAAGGGACTTTGCCTCCAAATCCAAACGTGGTGAATACAAAGCGGATAAAAGGAAGCGTTTTTTTCTCACTCTGTGCCTAATTAGACTGCACAGGAAAATGCTCAGGCCAAAATTTAGCAGGATTCAACGACAGATTGGGCACTTAGGGGGAAAAGAAAAATATCCAACTATAATAGCAGATGCCAATACAAATTCTGGAAGGGATATTAAGCCTCACGCGTCAAGGTGTAAACTAATCCCAAACTCTCAGAAAGCAGGGAGTTTATTGCAGGGGCAGATGACCCACATATGCCACTGCTACTGATGCTGCCTCACTGCTGGCACGGCCCCATGCTGGCTGAGCCCCTGGCTGGACCGTCCCCAGAGCCCTGTTTCCTGCTGCGGGCAGCACCTCTGACAAGGCCTGCAAATTTCTTTTGGCAAGTCAGCCCTTTGCTTGTAGCTCTCCAGAGCCATGTGGCTCCTGGGGCTCTGACCTCCTCCCCCTTGCCCCATCCCTWACTTTGCCAGCTGATAACAGCCTAATCACTTCTATGCACAGGCAGCCCCTCTGGGTGAGGGTCTGTGAGGTCTATGGGCGCATCCCCGGCTAGTGTGGCATCTTCCCACAGGTCCTTGCTTCCAGCCAAGTCTCTCATTTATCTCTCAGGTCACTTGTTGCCCAAAAGCACTTTTTTCTCCTGGTTTTATCCCCACTTTTTCCTGCTTCTGCTGCAGCTGGTCTCCAGTCTCTAAAAGAGAGTGCTCAGCTCCAGTACCTCATGGTGCTCCAAGTGCACAGGCACTGCTCAGATCAGCCCTGGGTCTTTSTCTCCTGTTCTGCATCAGTGGCAATCACTGTACAGCCCACTCTGGTCACTGTCAAAGCTCAGTAAGTGTTTGGACAATGCTCTTAGGCATATGCTGGGATTTTTTGGGTGCCCAGGGCCAGGAGTCGGACATGGTGATCCTGACAGGCCCCTTCCAACTCAGCATATTCTACGATGCTGTGATTCTATGATGCTGTAATGATATGATTCTATGAAAAACCTGCTGTCATGCCCTGCCATGCAGAGTCACAAGCCTGAAAATGGCTGCAGCCCAGGCTGGATGGAAGTGCAGTGATGTGGGATCCGGGAGCTGGGTGCAAGCACCTCCACCCCCAAATGAAGATGGTGCCATTTGCATCCCACACTGTTTGTTAGCAGAATGCTTGAGCTGCTCTGGTCACTGTGAGATKGGATGCTCCCAAAACCTTGGCTGCTGTGAAGGAGCAGTGACGGATCAGCATGACCAGYGGGGAGCCTGGAGCTCTCCTGGTTAGGAGCCAGGGTCTCCTGTGCTTTCTGCTTACGTGCTCTCCACGCTGCCGAGGGCAACGCCGCTGGGGACCTTTGGATCTCCCCTCGCTGTGGAGCACTGCACCCACAGGGGCTTCCAACTGGAGAAATTTCTGGAGGGCATGAATCAGCTTTTCACAGCTTGTTAAAAATCTTGATCCTACCTCTTGTTTTCATGCCTTTCAAATCAGGAAATGAGTTTTACAACTTTTCCAGTGGGGCACAGCTGGTGGCCAGGGTCGTAAAGCTGAACTTTATAAATATCTCTCATTGGGATCAGGGGAAGAGCATTAAAAAGGCGGAGAGAGAGAAAGAGAAGGGAAAGAAGCAAAGGCAGTAGAGAAGCAAAGCGAACAAGTCCAGCTCAACACCAACCATGGCCATGCAAGCACAGAAGATGGGGTGTGCTTGGGGCAGGCTTTTCCTGCTGCTTTCCCTTCTCCTCCAGCTGCCGGGCTCCCAGGCCAAATGCTACTTCCAGGCTAAAGGTAAGCAGGGAGGTGAGATGGAAAGAGGCTGATGGGAAGAGGAGGAGGCCTCAGCTTTCCCAGCATGGCAGGGCTCTATCCTGTGAAGCATGGAAGGGACTGTGCTGAACTCAGGAGAGGGATCACAGGCCAGTGGTGAGTGGAAAGTGTAGTCTATAAAATACAGAACAGCTCCCCAGGGCTCTGGCTGAGAAACAGCTTTCTGGACCATGAAGGTTCCTGGCAGGAGCCTGTCTGGGGCCAAATGTGCAGGACTAGCAGCAAAGGGAGGAAGGTGGATCGTCATCCCTTTGCTGCCTCCTCCCAGGGCTGCAGAAATGCACAGATCCCAAGGTGTGCTGGATTTGTCCTCTCCAGGACACAAGAGCCACCTGCCTCTTGCTCTAAGTCCATGGGGTAGTGGGGAGACCACAAGGCATRGACAGGAGAGGATGGATGGGTACATCACCCATGGCAGATGATTGGGCATTCCATACCTGCATGATGGTGGACAGACCACCAAACATCTTCTGTACCATGAGGTCATGATAACATCCCTAAGGTGGGAGGTCATGATAACATCTTTGTCCCCTCTTTCAGGGCACAGGGCTGTCAAGGAGGCTCCCACTTGCCCTTAGCACAGGCCTATGTGTCCTCATCACTGCTGTTTCCTTTGCAGCTCCCTGTGAGTATGAAGGGAAGCAGTTCTCCCTTGGGGAATCGTGGCTGAGCACCAACTGCCTGCTCTGCACCTGCCTTCATCCCGTTGGCGTGGGCTGCTGTGAGACGTGAGTGAGGGGCAAAGGGGCACTGGGATAGGATATTGCTTCCCACCACKGTACCCCTGTGCCTGCAGCTAGGGGGTCTGGTGGCTGCAAATACAGCAGGTATCAGAGCCCTGGGAGGGCTGTGGGGCACAGGCCTGGGGAACAAGAGGCAGAGGGTGGTGGCACAGGACACAGAGAGTGGTGGGGTGAGTTGGCAATGCGGTGGGAAAGGGTGTCTTGGCACAGCAGGATGCTCAGATGTGTCAGGAGCTGTGTGCCAACCTGCCTGAGCTGGTCTGGGAGGCATCCAGTGCAGGGGACTGGCAGYAGGAGGCCACCCAGCACGGTCAGCAGCTCCCAGCAMAAGCCAGGGTGAGCTGACGGCACTGTGTCCTCTCCCACAGCACCCAGCACCCCATTGACTTCCCTGACTGGTGCGAGGCCCACTACGACTCRCAGACCTGCCAGATCTCAGTGGTGCAGAAGGCCAACCCCAGCCTGCCCTGTGTGAAGAGCATGGAGCACGAGTGGGGCTCGGCAGGCACCCCCGAGCCGCTGGTGAACAAGGTGCTGGGTGCAGGGCTGAGCAGATAGAGGCTCAGCAGCGCCCTGTGCCCCTCGGCACCATCCTTCCCCCTCCAGAGCACACCACCCGCATGCTCCAGACCTGCCCCACCCACCCTGTAGAGGCATCACCGCTGCCGCCTTTGAGGAAAACCACTATCCACACACCATGGTATCAAGCTTTGCTTCTGCCTTCAGCTTCCTGAACCCAGGGCGTGCTCCCTGTCAGATGTTCTGCACACCACGGAAATGCAGATTCTACAGGATCTCCTCCCAGGTGGGCAGAAAAACTCCAGTGACTAAAAAAGGGCTACAGGACAAAATCAGCCTGCTCCGTGGCACTCCTGTACTTCCATTTCCAGCCTTAAGTGAAGTAGCTCCCCCTGCTCCCTCCCTGACTTCTGTTCCTCTGCACAGCAACCACCAGGAGCTTGCTGGGGAGCAGAACTGCCCCTTGTGCAGGATCCCCACACCCTGTACAGCCCCTTCTCTGCTCCTGGAGCGTGAGGGGCATAACCCACCTCTGGAACCACTACTGCCCCTGCCCCTAAAGCTCCTGGGGTCCCTGGCACTGTAGGCCAGCCCTGGGCAACACTGCAAGAGCCAGCCCAGGGTGGGTGGCAGAGCAGGGGGAACCACTGAATGTCCCCTGAGGAGACCCCCACCCCATTGTCAGGGAGCAGGGTGGGGAGGGTTCAGGAAGCAGAGGMACTCTAAGTGCCAGGGTGGAGGCAGCCACCCTGGCAGCTGCCCCAGCTGGTGCCATGCCTGTGTTGTGCAGMGCCTTGTGTAGATGTTTCTGTTCTTGCAATAAAGATATTGAACAAAGAGTGGTCTCCAGCCTGTGACTGCTGTGCAATGAGGCATGGGAACAATGTATGAATAAGGCTCTTGGGAAGGCGATTTTTAAACATTCAGATATTTATTAAATTTCCATGCAAAGAGGAAAGCTCATTGGAAGGCTTGGTAAAAACGAGGAGCAGGCTGTTGAGCAGGGGAGACATCCATCCCAGCTCTTAAATGCACAGCATGCACTCCCTACAGCCCCGCAAGGATCCAAAGACCAGCAGGATGCCTTCACGTCCAGGAGCCCAGGCAGACAACAGCGCAGGGGCTCAGTGCTGCTCAGTTTTAAATCATGATTGAACTGACACAGCATGGGCCTGCATCCAGGTCACTAGCACCTGTCARAAGCACAGGGCTGGCCTGCCAGGACCTGCCTCTTCCAGGTGGGGGTAGCTCAGGCATGGGACTGTGTGTGGGACAACTCCCCAAGAGGCAAGACACGTGCCAGGGCAGGCTCCCACCCAGCCCAGGTGGCCAGTATGCTTCACCTGGATGCCAGACCTCTGCTTGTAGGRTCTCTGTAGGGCCATGGCCTTCTCCCAAGGGTGCTGTGAAGCTTCACTGGAAGAGCTGCCCTCTCCCCTCCCTGGGCTGGGCCTTTCCTTCTTGGGAGCCCCACATGGGATAAAGGCACATCAGCCATTCCCTGGGAAGGCCTATTTCTTTTTGCTGAGTGCTGGGACTTGCACCTTTACCCAGGCAGGAAGGGTCTAGCTCCAGCTGAGGGCTGCAGCACGAGACACTGTATCAAGAACAGTGCCCTTCCACCCATGGACAGGACAGACTTGCCCAGTGCCCACCTGGGCATCACAGACAAATCCAAGGGGACACTAGCACGCATGCCTCACGGCATACTGGTGACAGTCCTGCCTGCCAATCCCACGGGTGGCACATGCTTGCTGCTCTGCAGGCCAACCACCTCTTCCTACTTCATATGGTGATGGAGTTAGTGCTGGAGAACTGAGATACATAGGAAGCCAGGATGGGGTTAGTGGGAAGAACTTTGATGGGCAAGTCCCAGCTGAAGGTGTCCACCTCCATCTGCTCCACCCCAGTCCAGGTGACAGCCTCTGACTGGTTCCCACGAACCAAGCAAGTCCCCGCAGATTCTCCAGAGGTCACAAACTCAAAGTGCAGCCTCCACTTCAGGGACACTGTGGGCAAGAGGGTGGTCAGCAGACAACACCACAAGGGCCATGGACAGCAACGGTCTCAGCACTGTCTGTCCTGGCAGGTGCCAGCAAATGACACAGGCCAGCAAGGGCAGGGCTGGGGACATCAGAGAGACAAGCAGGGGTAGGTCCCCTCCCTGGTGGGTACTAACCGATGTTGGTGGTGAATCCTGGGGTTGAGCTGAGTGGGATGGGCAGGCTGAAGCTGCTCTGTGCTGTGTGCAGGCAGGATTCCTGATGGCGGGCATGCACGGTGAAGGAGACAGGCTGCCCCCGCCGGCGCTGGAACTCCTCCTGGATGCTCTCCTCTGTCTGCAGGCTCACCGAGAACTGGAGGATGATGGGCAGGATGCTCACTCTCACAATCTCATACACACCCTGTGCAAAGCCTGGGGGCTCTGTTTCCCAAGAGAGCTCAGGACTAAGCTCAGACTGGACCATTATCAGCCTCATACTCCAAGGAGACCCCAGCTGGGTTGCACCAGAAACCCTCACAGCCCAGCGCCACCCCAATCTCTTTTCCCTCTATCTCATCCTAAACCCCTGCCTCTCCCCAGTAACCCCAGAGACAGCAATGACCTGCAGACATGGGATGTCTCCTTCTGAGAAGTTGAAGGTCCCAATGACATCCTCTCCGATCTTATATACAGTCTTAAAGATGCAGAACGTCCCCACCTTCCCACGAGTGTTGCTGATRTTATACAGATCTGTGGAGCAAGAAGAGGGTAAGGATTGCAGCAGGAAAAGGCTCTGCATCCATCCCTCTGTTCTGGGTTAATGACATCACCCCCTGCCTCCTGCTTGGGTGTGAAAGACAGTTCCTAGAGGTGGTATTCCCTTTGGGAAATGTCTGCAGAGAGCAAGAGCAAACCAGACACTGGCTGTGATATGCTGGGCACAGGGTCTCTCTGGCTGAAGTAGGAACAGCCTGAGACTGGCTCCACAGCCACAGCTGGAACTTTGCTTTATCAGTGAGAGATTTTTTTGCAGCTGGCACTGAGATGTTCTCCATGTCCAGCTTCTTAGGAAGGATAGCAGGTTTGAATAGGGAATATAACCTACGCAGGCTGCGTCGGGAGGTGGCCACCATGAGCAATTCTGTCGCTAGGTCTGCCAGGCGAGAGTCTTTCTTCAAGCCCTCCTCCTCCTCCAGGAAGGGGTTTGAAGGTGCAACAGCCTCATCCTGCGGGAACTGGTAATCCTTGAGCCCTGGGAAGAAGGTGAGAGTATCAGCAGGGCAGAGTGCAGCCTGGCCTGCCTGTGCAGGAGGGCAGAGCGTGGTCTTACCATGCAACACAAGGACACGGAAGGGCACACGCAGGAGCTTGATGGGGGAGTTGACCCGCTGACAGCCGATGGTCAGCTTGTACACGTACTTCACAGACTGTCCACGGAAAGAGGGGGGGCCATCAACAGGTAGAGTCTCACAGTACGAATCTGCAAGGGATGCAGAAAATTTGCTTTCCAAGGCTGAAAGAAAGCTCCTGCAGCTGTTGTGCGCAGGCTCCCTGCACTGAGTGTTAAGGCCAATAGCAGTGCTGAGCTAAGGACAGTGCCTGGTGCTTTCTGCTGTCTCCTCTTTCCTGTGCCAAGCACAACGCAGCTTCCCTGCGCCAGGCACACTGCTCCTCACATCACATGCACCATCATCCAGATATTGCTTCCAGCACATACAACCACACACACAAACTCTGTCTCCAAAGAATGTGAAAGATGTAAAATCCAGGAACACAAACACATGAGAGCTAAACTTACTCATCACGAGTTCAACCCAAATTTGCCTTTGTACACTCCSTTTGCCCACTGCTCTCACAGCACAGCCTCCTCCATGTCCTGCCCATGCGGGTGTTGATCAGTACCTCATGCCTCTTTTGGTATTTACTTTACACAAACACTCAAACTCAGCAACATGTTAGTTTCTTCCTGTGTTTTTCTCTGAGGACAATGTCTAAATGATCAAGAAACAATTCTGAGACATTCACAAAAACCTGTGGTTTATTCCCCTTGACAAGCTGATGACTTAGCCCACAAAGCCTATTGAGTCTGAGGGCTCTGCAACATCAGGGCCTGGCTTACACCACATTCAGCCCTCCTAGAGCCCCTCGGCCACTACACAAACCCCAATGCTTCTTGAGGCAGTGTGAACACTTTTGCAGCTTTCCCAAACCACAAGCTGTATAACAAGAAAGACACAAAGAGTAAACTGTGGAAAGTCTCCACCTCTCTGGCTTGCCCACCGTAAGGCAGATACACCCTGCCAGAGGAAGGGCAGCATCCTGCTCTGAAACCACAGATCCCTCCCCATGTCTGGCACATACTGAATGTTGAGGCTTAGATTAAAAGTTAAGGTTACATTTTAAATATAACTTCTGGATTTAAAATAACAGGACTGGAAGGAAGAAAAAAGCCTGTGCTAGTGTGCAGAGTCCACAGGATGTCACACCTTAAAACACAAGACCTCTTTCTGGAGCAGGATGCAGATAAAGCGGAGAATATCCCTACAGGGATGAAAATCAGGTATTTCCAAGGAAAGAAGCAGACTTCTGTAACCCCTGTACCAGACTTAACAGCAATACTTATTTAGACCTCTATGCACAGTGAGGATAATCTGAGCAGAAACCACAGCTGTCAGAGAACGATGGACCGTTTGCTACCTGGCAGAGGAATGCCAAGACTCAGGAAGTCCCAGCTTCTGTGCATATCCCAGAGGGAAGCACATTCCTGGTGCTACAGATGCCTCCCTTACCCACCTGCTGCGYCCTCTGGCTAGGCTCCTGGCCTGTGTCCAGGCTGCTTCCATTTCCTCCCCTCTCTGTGATTTACCAAATATTTAAAGGTATTACAAAACCAGAGAGGAGGCAAAAACAGCCACAGCAATGAAGACTTGAGAAAATGTTTCATGGTGACAAATTTAAACAGTTCAACCTGGTCGACGTGTCAAAGGCCTAGAAGATGAGTCAACCTCAACATATAGGCACCATAACAAGATTAAGGTATTGGGGAATAAGTTGGTCAGCAACTGAAAACAAGTCCTTTCATCAAGAGACAGTCTGACACAACCTCAGCTCTGTCTGCCAGCTCTGGCTGCAGTTTAATAGTATAGCATATTGCTGAAGCAAAATTCAGATTTCTTGGGTTTTCTGGTTTGTTTTTTTCCCCCCTTCTCAAACTGCGTAGCAAAACTCAAAACTTCTGAAAAACAGGAAATGAAGAATTAAGATACACACCCACACAGCCTTAACTCTCCCTCCGCAGAGCTGGCAGGAGACCCCAGGAATGATCTGCAAGTGTGCCAGCTGCAGTCTCGTGTGAGAGCAGCAGCACCACAGGCTGATGGGATTGGTGTGAGCAGCCTGGCAATGAACGAGACAAGGGCTATGATACGGGGATTTCACTGCTAAAAAAACAGTGCCACATGCAGCCACATCACATGTGATACATGAAACAAGTGCATCACACACCCAAGGGGAACAGCTGTAATGTACAGCTGAGGAACCTCAAAGAATAGAAGAGTTGGTATCCTTCCTGAGAAGCTGTATCCAAGCACCAGGCAGATGCAGGCTGTTAGTGCCAGTGCCACCCAGAGGCAGACAGGACACACACACAACACGTCATTGAGAAAGACAGACAATCCCTAGCTGAGCTGGGGCTGAACAGCTTCTTCCTGCTAAGCCAGTGCACAGTCAATCCCTCAATCCATCCCAGCCACCTGGAACTTGGGCTGCTGTCACTAATCTGTTATCCCAGAAACTGTCCAGCCTGCCTAGTATGTGCCAGTAAAAGGGAATTCCCTCTGCTCCCAGGGAATGAATGCTCTAGCCCCAAACCCGCAAACTGCAAGGAAACAGGAGAATTCAGGTAAGCCTCAGACCACCTGAGATTTCTGCCTCCTCCTCCTTCCTACTTGAATGGCCAGCAAGTATCCTTTCTTCAACATGCTGCTGTAACATAATATGTGAATAACCAAACATCTTCAGACAACTGGCTCTGCAGTTTAGGGGCACAGCCCCAAGAAGGCAATGCCCCACCCCACTAACCACCAAGCCAAGCTAGCCTGGTTTCACCAGGTCCACCTCACCCTCCAGTCAGGCCCCTCTAAGGTCAGAAAAGCAGGAGACACCAGCTTCAAAACTAGCATGCCACAACCCTGCAGCTGCTTGGTCTCACTTGCAGCTCCACTCTCAGTTCTGCAGAGATAATTGATCCAGTAGAGCCTGCCCCACCACAGGCACTGCATCTCCACTYCTTTGCCCTGCAGCTTGAGAGGTCTCCATCAGTCATTCCCTGCAGATCCTGGAACAGCCTAACAGACCTCTTCACACTCAGCCTGCAAGGACCAACACCACTGCTGCTAGATCACTGATACTGGAATGCAACAGAGAAGTGATGTGAACAGGCTGGATCAAACAGCCACCAACCAAGGGACAACAATGCATATTGATGTTTCCACAGCCATCTACTCAGACATTAAGAGCTTTGAGCAGAGAAGATGAGGAATGCTCACTTTCATAGCAGGAAAATTAGAACACACAGAAGACTGTTATCTCCAGGACACAACCTGTTATCTTTCAGCCACAACCTGAAAAGGAAACACAAACCTTTGGAGGACACCAGCCTAAATTCCAAGAATACTCCAGAATGGCTGAAGAAATAAAGGTAAGGAAATGCAGGCAGCCATTTCTTCTGCTGCAACCAGGTACTTATGCCTTGCAGCTACAGAGTGGATCTGAGGCAAAGGCCACAGGCCAGAGGTAGGATTAAGGGACACATSGCAGTCCACAGCACTGACAAAGCAGAGAACAGATCAGGATGATGCAGCAGTTCCTGAGCACTCATATTTCCACCAACGCACCTTGCCTTTTGCAACATCAGGGTCTCACATTTGCAGCATTCAGGTCTACAARGCGAGTTTTGCAAGTGCAGCTCCCCAGAGGAGAACTGTTAGCAGGGGAAGAGGAGACAGGACTCACAGGACTTTGACTCCCCAGGATCCAGTCGCAAGTCACAGAAGAGAATCTTTGGGGGAGTGGACAGGATACATTGACCCCGTTCTCCTGAAAGAGAAGAAACACGTGAATGCTGTCCAGTCTCAGGCTGTGTCCAGTTAAGTCAGGCTTTATCCTTGTGGGGACACACAGGGAGAAGAGAGCCAAGGAGCAAACATCTCTTGCCCTGGTCATATCGTGAGACATTCCCACCACAGCTGGGCAGACAACTGTCATGTCATGTTTCATTACAAGCTAGTGTAACATTGATTTCATTTAAGGTTGTGATTAACAAGGTCCCACAACATTCATCACCAAGGAATGACACAAGGAAAACAACACAGACTTCCCACTTGGTTCTATGCACACTGCCATCAAGACACACACATTACAGTCTGCTTGACTCCTCCCCACTCTGTTCTCACTGTCCCTAGTTGGGTGACAGGCAGGAGTGGCACTCACCTCTGTTGGGGACAAAGACGGTCTCATTCTCTGCCTGCACATCATGCTTGCTGCCATCAGAGGGAGGGAGTGCCACCCGGTTCTCGCTGGCATGAAACTGGCAGTGGATCTGGGCGCTGGCCCATGCCAGCATCTCACTGAAAGCAAAGAGCAATACCCGTGTCTATGCTTTAAACGTGCATTACAGCAGGCAGGAATCAGGAAAAGGGCGACTCTGTCTGCTCAGCTCCATGCAGAACAGTTGTCTAGAAGAAACAAGGCTGTGCTTCACTGTCACTGAAGCCACTCTCACAGTCCCCCTCCAAACAAGCCTTGGGAGTAAGCTCAAGCTGGGGTGCTGACTCAAAGCCACTTCCACCCCAGCTGCTGAACAGCAGTTTCACCCAAAGGCCTGGCTCTGTGGCCCAAAGACTCTTTAAGAAGCAGTATTTGCAGTCTGAGCATAGGCAGAGCACTGACACAGCACAAGAAAAACTGCTGCCCCGAGAAACGTGATGTACACTCATGACAGAAGACAACAGGCAGTGCAGGTCAGCAGCCCTTGTCCCCTTCCATGGCGACAAGAGATGAAGTTGCCTGTGCAAAACTTCACAGGAATCTTCCAGCAAATATACTGAGATCAAGTTTTCCAAGATCCAGTCCACAGCCTCACTCATTTGTTCATCTTTCTCATCAATCACAGCTTGGAACTGGCCACTCACTGCACTTGCAAGAGGGCACAGCTCAAGCTGCTGCACAGGGGCCCAGCCTGGCAGAGGACTCTCAGCCATGGGAAGTTTATCCCCAGCCAGAGATGACATACAGAGCAGCACTCTGGAAACAACACAACCATGATGGAAGTGGGCAAATTTTAAAGCAAAAAATTCCTGCAAGCTGGGTTCAGCTGCCCATGCCCACGGTACCCAATTGTCCCAATCCTCAGGGCAAGAAGGRCACAGACTTACTCCCTCTGCCCTCACAGCACCAACACCATCAAGAACATCAGCTGCTGTTTGTGCCAGACCAAAGAAGAATGCTTCTGGGTCTTTCATTAGGACCTATTTTCTTCTCCTTATGCAAGGGGTTTGCTGATTGCAATAGGGGAGGCRAAGGTGTCATTTTGACCCCTCTCTGTATAGGCACAGGAATAAATGTAGGGTTACGCATCCAGCACAAAAAACAGTCTCATGTTTTGGACTCTGATGTGACCTCAGCCATTCCAAGGGTATTATTTGCCATGGTACTACTGACACCTTTCAGTTTCCAAATCACTTCTATTTTTATTTCAACAGTGCTCTGTATAGTTTAGCCAGTGAATAGTTCCTCTGGTGTTTTCTAACTAATGATCTGATTAGTAAGCACTAACACCAGAGCTTTAGGCAGCAGAGGGATTTTTGTGGCACACAGTTGTCTCTTCATGTGACACATCAGAGCAGTTAAAGGTCTAGMAGAACCAGGGGGAAAAGGCATGCTGTTTGTGTCAGCTGACTAATGATGCAATATTTGATCTTTTGTATGTGCTGGCTGCTCTTACCTAAACAATCTCAGTTACTATACCCAGTTGCTTCAAGGCCTGCAGTTGTAGTTCTGATTTATCTAAAGTACCAGCATGGCTCTTCCATGAGGGCTGACTTACATTTTTTTGTTTTAAGGTATCTGATGTTTGGAAACAGAGAACTGCTCTTGCTTGAGGCAATGTTTGCTAATTTTATATAAGCTTAGAATGATTACAAACACCCTATTTTGAATATTTTTTTCTTTCTTTTTCAGTATTGCTCTACAACAYCTCACTGGATTGTTTTCATTTTTTCCAGTCAGATGTCCAAACAAAATTTGCATGTCCCTTCCTGCCAGCAGACCTGGCTTGCTCAGCTGGTGCTTGTTCAGCAGTGGAGGATCCTGCACTGGTGCTGAGGTCACTTCCCTCCAGTCTCACCTTCCCCCACAACTCCTGTAGCCTATGCAGGACAAGCTCTGTGCAGCCTCTGGGCAGAACAGATTTGTTTCTTGTACTCAGCTATCAAAGTAATTTCCTTTCCTTCAGTTCTGTCCCTGTGTTCAAAATGCGGCCTCTCTGTCCCTCCAGCTGTCAGCCCCAAAACTTCCAAGTCCCTGCCAAGTCTATATGCCTGTTGGAGTCACTGTGCTTTGATCTGGCTCCTGCCTATACACAACCCACAGTCTCATTTCCCAAACACCAATCTATTTGCCGTTGCCAGGTCTTGTCAGATTGATCACCTGGGGTTTTTCTTATTATTTAAAAAACTTTTCTTTTCCAAGAGGCAGTCTTCTACAGACCACAACATACCTAAAGTTCTCAAATGAAGCTCTCATAAAGGCACTGCCAAACCGTGCCAACTGGTGCCTTAGAAGTCTCATGTTTCAGAACCAGGCAAAACATCTCTTGTCATTGTACAGGACAAAACTSTGGGAAGCTGGATGCTTATGCCACAGCCAAATTTGAAAACTGAATTCAGCAGCCAAGAGGACGCAGGAAGAAAATATGGAAAGTTAAGGAAAGCAACAAGTATAGAAGACCTACATGAGATTGCTCTGCTGCTGAGACTGCAGGCATTGTGAGTGGGCTGACCAAAACAATCACATGTGAATATTGTACTGTTGATGAAAACATGCTGAACATAACAGGGCTAGAAACAGACACTTCTTAGGAAGGGCTCAAGATGACAAAGCACTCTCCACTCCCTAAAGAATCAGACAAGGCTGCACACTCAGCGGACATGAAGGCTTTGGATGATTACTTGTGACATGGAGTCACCCCCTGTGAGCCAACATGGGAAGCTCCCATCTTCTCACATTTCCTYAACACTGATAAGGGAAGATGCAGTGCTCAAAGGATGGGCCATAGAAAATGCTGCTGAAGAAGGTGCCCCTTTCAGACCCTTGGCAGCATTCACCCTTTGTCTGCCATCTCCGGTAACAGGGATCACACTGATTTATCCAGCAATGCTGGACAGAAGAGAGCTCCTTCCACAAATGCAGGAAATAATGACGTTACCTGGATGTTGCTCTGTGGGACTGTCGCCCAGGTGTGACCAGATATCCCACTTTGACAGCCAGTTTGGCTTCATTTTCTGCCAGTCACTGTCACTGAGAACTAGTCTGAGCAACAGGGAATCTCTAACTGCATGTCTTTCCTGGTTTCCTTCTTGGGGGCAGAAAACCAGCATAATTACCTCAGCTTCGCCCCCAAAATTGCGATGGTGCAAGGCTCCCTTAAGGAAGTGCCTGGAGTAGGGAAGTCACAGGGGGCTGAGSTGGCACCATTGCCCCACAACCTAGCCGTGATTACTGTTGCAGAGGGAGAGGGAAGAAAGGGAAGGCCATTCCCCCTGGAGGAACCCAGACAGCTCCAACATTTGGAGGCTCCATGCATGCACTGGCACAGGCCCGGTACCTGCTGGCAGAGGTTGATGAGGCTGATAAGGGGTTGGTGAAGGTGATCACACACTCCAGCACCTCCCCTGCCAGGAACACGGGCCCACGGCCCAGCTTGGCCAACACTTCAATCATGGCTTGGATAATCCTGATGCACACCTGCCAAAAAAAGCCAGAAGTGGGCATGAAATCACAGAACCAKAAATTCAAACAATCGCTGAATGGTTTGGGGTGGAAGAGTCCTTAAAGATCATCTYGTACCAACTCCCCTGCCATGGCAGAGGACACCTCCCAWCAGATTGCTMAGGGCCCCATCCAGCCTGGCACTGARTATTTCCAGGGATGGGACAACCATAACTTCTCTTGGCAGCATGTGCCARTGCCTCACCACCCTCACAGTAAAGAATTTCTTCCTAATATTTAATCTAAACGTACTATCTTTCAGTTTAAAGCCATTGCTGCCTGTCCTGTTACAGCGATACGGAGAGAGGACTGGGCACTGTAAGAGAGGGGAAATAAGGACACAAACACACACACAGGAAGTATCCGGCGCCTTACGTATACATACATCCTCCCCTCAGGTCACRCAGGTAAGGAGGGGGTCAGGACACACCGCGACGGTGAGCAAAGGCAGCCCTGACATTCCCAGCCCTGAGGTCTCTACCGCAGGCAGGCACACGGATAGCTCTACCCGAGCGATCTGGGACATAGGGCCGCAAACTTCCCGCAGCTCCCGCCTCGGGTTCACTCACCACCCGCACAGGCCCCACTCTCCGTCCAGCACCGCTGCAGGCCCAGCTCCCCTCAGCCGCTCGGAGAGACTCGGCAGCGCTCGGGCAGAGTTCGGCAAGCCTCGGTCATCCCTCGGGAACACTCGGAAATACTCGGGTCACACTCGTCAACTCTCGGGCAGTATTCGGGCACCCTCGGGGACGCTCGGCCTACTGACGGCCAGCGCTCGGCAACGGTCGGGAAGCGCTCGGCAACGGTCGGGAAGCGCTCGGCAACGGTCGGGAAGCGCTCGGCAACGCTCGGGAAGCGCTCGGCAACGCTCGGGCAACGCCCGGCAACGCTCGGGTAGCGCTCGGCAACTTTCGCGCGCCCCTCAGCAGCGCTCGCTCACCGCTCGGCTACTCTCGGAATCTGCTCGGCAGCGCTCCGCCCCGCTCGGCCCGGCGCCCCCGGGGACCGGCGGCGGGGCGGGTCCGTGTTTCCGCCGTGCCCCGGGGGCGCGGGCGGGGCGGGGCGGGGCGGTGAAGAAGAGGGCGCGCACGGGGCGGGGGGCGGCGATGGCGACGGCGGAGGCGGCGGAGGGGCCGCTGATGCGGCGCTACGAGGGGGCAGCACGGGGCCGCGGCGTGGCGGCGGCCGGCTGGCGCGTCTGCTTGGCACATAGCTTCGAGGAGCTGCGGCAGCCCTACGGCGCCGGGGACGTGCCGCTCCGCGATGTCCTGCGGCACGTCGGCCTCGGCTTGCGGTACGGCGGGGGATGGAGGGGGCCGGGAACACACCGGGACGGGGGAGGGCGTCCCGCGGGGAGCATAACGCCGCGCCGAAGCCGCTCGGTGTCGCGGGGGGCTCGCTCCGGGGAGGCACCGGCGGCATCCCGGTGTACGGAGGGCAGAGTCCGGGAGATCACGGAAGGCCCCGGGCTGGCGGGAGCCGCCCTCCTGCCGCTCGCAGCCGCCGGCACCCTCCACCCTTTCTGGCGCCGGCAATGGGAGCACTGGTGCTAAGGAGCAACTCCCGGCGCTCGGGCTTCCCGAAACGGGGGGAGCTGGGACGACTGGGGGTATCGCTTGGGGATGGATGGGGACCCCCATCTCCCACTTTCGGGGTTCATCGCTGCCGCATCCTCCCCGACATTGTCCCCAGTGCTGACAGCTGGAGGTTAAACTGGGGCCAGCTGGGAGCGGTTTGGAACGAACGCTGTGTACTGTGGCAGGTTTGGGAACGGGGCACCTCTCCCGGCTTTGCGCTGGGATGAGCTGGAAGTAATGATGGAGAACACTCGTGCAAAGTGAGGGTGTTGTTTTAACCTTTAAAGCTGGAGTCCAAGTGCTGGCAGTGCTTGTGCACCAGTCAGTCTGAATGCTGGGACCGGTGACAGCGTTGCTTACTTCCTTGTGCTGGATTTATGTCTCCTGCCTCCATTTTCTGCTGGTGTCCTTGGAGTCTGGTGCTTGCCAAGCTGGTTCCTGCAAAGCTGGATGAAAGGGCAGATACTGGATTGCTTCAGGGTGCACAGCATGCTGGTCTGACCTGAGACACCCCGGTACAAGCCTGGGCATCGGGGAAGGGAGAGTGTGGGTCATGCACCGGAGATAAATAAAGGCTGCTGGAAAAGCTGCCATGGCAGGTTGGGATGAGCTGAGCATGTGGGAAAGCGTGAAGTTCTGGTGGGGTGAGCTGGGATGAGAAGAGATCCTGGAGAGGCTGCTCCTGCCCTGTTCTCATTGGAAGCTGGAAGTGGCTTGTATCAGTCTTAGGAAAAGGTCTTTGAGTGCAAGAAGCTCAAACGACTGCCTCTTCTGTTCAAGCTTAGGAGGTAATTTGGTTGTCACCTCTAAATACTTTCGCAAGGACAAGATCTTCCTTGTAAGGAGAGCCTAACCTTGAGAGCAGAGGACAAAGTGCTAAGGTGATGAGAWATACCTGTGTGGGTTTGAGTTAAAACCCAAGGGCAGCATTGTTGSCTGACAAAGGGCAGCCAATTCAGGSATTCAAGGCTGTATTGGAGGCTGCATGCTCCAAGCATTGGTGGGCATCTCAGTGTCTGCCTGACTGGAACAGCCAGTTCAAGGACACCTGGGTGCTGGTGCTGTGAGAGGAACCTGGAACGCAGTCCTGCAGTGTGGTGAAGCCCTGCAGATTGGCCTGCCCTTTCCTGAATGACTCATGGTGAGTGGCCCCTGTGCCACACAGGGTGCTCTCACAACTTGGCATGGCCTGATGCTTCAAGTGCAAAGTCACCTGGTGCAGGTGCTCACAGCCACCAGGAGCACCTTGGGGTCACTGCATGTCTTCAGCTCAGGAAATCCAGGACCTGCAGAGGAGCCATCACATCCTGGGTTGATGTGTCAAATCAAACATGATGATGGCTGCCCTCTTCTGCAGCACCAGCCCTTGATGCATGTGGCATGGCTTGGGGTGTTGACAGCCCTGGGGCAGGATTTTTTGATTTCAGGGTTTATCAGGGTAACCGTGGGGGACATGCATGTCTGGAAAGAAGGGACTGTGCAGAGGACTCAGCTGGGGCTGGCAAGGCGGGAGAAGAGGTGCAGGTAGGTTTCCACAGAGGTGGCTCATGTGTCCCGAGAGGGGTCACGGCATGAATCCAGATTAGCTGGGTAATGTTGAGACAGGTTTTAATTCCACTGCCAGTTTGAAGRGAAAGAAATGCCCTCCAGCCCTGAYGGTGGTTTTTTTTTGCTACGGAACACGAAGACGTTCTCCTGGTTGTTCTGCAGCCCTGGCAAGGCTGTTAATAGACAGCAATTGGGCATTGACCACTGGGCTTCTCTTCTTCACTTGCACAATTTTGGAGAAGAGTCTTCTCCTTTTTGCTAGGAGAAGAGTGTGCTACTGCAATGGTAAATTGACTCTGGTAGTGGCAGTAATCCCAAACGTTTTCCTAATTCGTGCTCCTGGAAAAACTGCTCTTTGAAACTCACCTGCTGTGTCCATTCCAAGGAGTCACAATGYCCCGCTAGGCTGTGCTGCAGCCACTCTGCCTGGGCACCTTATTTCCTGTTGCCAGAAGCCTGCTGGGTTGGTTCCCAGACGCTGGGCTGGAAAAGAATAATAATAATTTCCTTGAGAGAGAAGGAGAGAGAGCGCTGCCAAAACCTCGCCTTGGCAGGCTAAGGCTGGGTCTGTCATGGCTGGAGAAGAGCAGTTGCAGCAGATATAGCTGGAAGATAGAGGCAGGCCCCGGTTTAGGGCAGTCATGCAGGACAGGCTGGTTCTCATCATGCCCTGAACCTCTGTGAGCAAAATGTCCATAGACAATGAAACACAAAGCTGGGTCTGTAGAAGTGGAGAGCAGGCTGCAATCAGGTCCTGTGAGACTGCAATGCAGAAAATTTCACCCTGGAAGGGATTTGGGGACCTTTGATATTGATGAATAAAGTTGAATGCATAGTGAGCAGCCAAAAAGTCAAATGTGGGTTGTTTCTGCTGGGGAAGTGTAGTTGTAGGGGTGTCATGCAAGAGCCTCTCCCTACTGTACATGTACATGATGTACATGTCCCAGGGGGGTCTTGCTCACTGCTCATCGCCTGTGCTCTGCATCCTGTGAAAGCAGGAGCGGGACAGGCTGTGTGTGCCTGGTTGGAGTGGTTTTCTGCTCAGTATGGCATGGGTGTCTGCAGGTAGCTCAGGGAAATTGCCCACCATGGGGTCTCCTGTGCCCCCACCACCCAAGGAGCTGGCAGTTGGGTCTTGCCCGACTGTTTGCTGGGCAGAGTTCAGCAGCTTCTGGTCTGGTAGCTGGTTTCCGTGTGCTAATTGTCTTTGTATAGAAGGCTTAACTTGGGGCAGTTTATTAGCAAAAGACAGTCCTTTACGAGCACTGACTCGGAGCCCAGCCCTGCTGCTCTTGCCTGGAGTGGTGCTGGCACACCCAGCTGCAGGTGTGCCTCTGTTATGATGTCTTGATTCCCAGACCTTTGGGTGAGAAATTACGTGATGGGCAGTGCCTGTCTGCGCACCTGGTGTGCAGGTGGAGGCAAGTCCCCAGGGTCCCGCCGACTGCAGACAGCAACCACCACCACTTCCAGGGAAAGGCTGCCCTGTGCTATCTGCCCCTGAGAATGAGGCACAGGGATGTGTCAGTGCATGGCTATGGGGACATGGAGGGAGAAGAGCAAGGCTCTTGCCCCTAGAGCAGTGTATGGCTTCTCTGGGTATGTACCTCTGCTTCCAGGCCTTCCTTAGCAGGACGTTCTGCCCCAGGCATGGAGGTGGTGGTGGTGGTGGTCTTTGTGTGCATTCCCACTTCTCCGTGGATGTCTGGGAGAGCCTCCTGTGCTGCACGAGCTGGGAGCCCTGCTCTTGAGTTGTAGAGTGCTCTGTTTTCACAGTGTGCCCTTGCAGTCCTGAGCTACCTAAGCTCTGGCTGTTTGTGACTGCTGACTGATGTGTGCTCCAGGTGGACGACAGAGATACTTTCACCCCTTGTACCCTGAACACAGGGACACAGGTTCCTGTTGTACATCTCTACAAGGAGGGAAAACCCAACTTTGCTCATCCTGCCCAGAGACACTGAAAGGATGGTGTTGCCTGCTTCTTTCTTTTTTAATACCTCTTCTTCTCTTGCAGATACTTCAGGTGGTGGTTCAAGAAGACCCGCATAGAGAAGAAATCTGCCTTCATTGACCTCTTGTGTGCTGTTCCTCTGCAGCAGATCTATGGTCAGCCTCCACTTTGGGCGCTGGGGTGGTGCAGTGCCTAGTGTGTGGGATAGGCAGGGATTCACATGGGGCCATCAGGGTGCTAGATGGAATGTGTGAGTCAAGGAGCTTTTGGGGTGTGAGCAACATTGAGTGGTGTCCCCTCTAGAGATGCATGGGGAGGGTTTTTGAGGCAGATCCCACCATGGGGAGGAATGGGACTGCTAACCTTTGCTGTCTCTGCCAGGTTGTCCACTGGGCGGGATTGGAGGAGGCACCATCACCCGTGGCTGGCGGGGAGAGTTCTGCCGCTGGCAGCTGAACCCTGGCCTTTACCACTACGAAACGGTCATTGCCAACCAGGTACGGTCTGCAAGGGGAGTGAGTGGCACTGCAGCAGCCTCGGTGGCTGTGCTTTCTGACACTGGGCTGATCTCATCCCTGCTCCTCTCCTCCACAGTTCACGGTGTGCCTGCGGTGCAAGGGGCAGACKATTTACCAGCAGGTCTTGTCCGTGGAGAGACCCAGTGCCCTGCAGGGCTGGAACTGGGGCTACTGYGGCCACTACGCCTTTTACCATGCCCTGTACCCCCGAGCCTGGCTGGTCTACGAGCTGCCGGGGCAGAACGTGGTGCTCACTTGCCGGCAGGTCTCTCCCGTCATCCCCCATGACTATAAGGTGAGGAGCTGATGGCATCCCCAAGGACAGAGCTGCCTRTTAGCCGGGCTTTCCCAACATTTTCCGGTGTCTGCACTCAGCAATGGTCGAAGGCAGGGGAACCCCCACAGGCAATCGGGAGCTRGGATTGCAGCAAGGGATGCCTCAACACTGCTGCACTGCCCGTGCTGGCTCCCAGCCCCAGGCAAGGGTGGCAGCTGTGCTGCTGACACGTCTGACCTTCCTCTTACCCCAGCGCAGCACGTGAGCCTGTATCAACCTGCCGAGCAGATGAGTGATGAGACACGGGCTGAGCCTTAAACGCCGCTTTCCGCCTCTGCTGCCCGGCAGAGAGTGGTGTTTGCCAGCCCAGGGCTTCCTTTCTGAATTTTGCCTTGCCTGCCTCCCAAACTCTGCTGCTGCTCCTCGGCTTGGCACCACACTCTTAAGACTGAGTTATTATTCCTGGTGCTCTTGCTCCTGCTGCGTCCTGAGTGGTGTCCCCAGCAGTGGGGGAAATGATGTTTGGGCAGCTGTGCTTGGAGCACCAGCCCTGTACACAGCATTGTGTGTCTCTGCCAGGACTCCAGCCTGCCAGTGGGAGTGTTCATCTGGGAAGTGGAGAACGAGAGGGATGAGGACGTGGAAGTGTCCATCATGTTCACCCTGCAGAATGGCATAGGAGCGAAGGAGGACAGGAGCGGAGGGCACTGGAATGAGCCCTTCACCTTCCACAAGGATGRCGAGCGCGTTGCKGGAGTCCTGCTGCACCACTGCCCGGCTGTGAACCCCTTCACCCTGGCCATCTCTGCCCGGGAGAAGGTAAAGGGCTGGCCCTGGTGCTGGGGAGGTTGTGCAACCCTGCTGGATGTGGGGAGCGGCTTGCAGGCAGCTGGCAAAGGATGGGTGTGCAATGGGCTGGGACTGGCACTGGTTCTCAGCATTTGCCTGACCCGAGGAGTGAGGATGTGGCTTCTGTGAGGGCACCCTCTTTGGGGGTGCTGTCAGGAGAMCASCTGAGGGTGAAGTTTGTGGGACAGCAGATTGGGTTGAGAGTTGCTGGGCAGCCRTGGRAAAGTGAGTGTGGTGTCCYGGTGGTGGTGTTGGGGAGTGGAGAGCATTAATGTTCTCCTCCAAAGCAGCAGCCCCTGATGATGCTCTTCCCTTCCCCAGGCTGGCACAGGAGTCACCCATCTCACAGCATTCAATCCCACGGGATTGGGTATAGAGGTGTGGCAGGACCTCCTGCGGGATGGCAGGCTGGATTCACCCACCGGTGAGTCCCTCCATCCTCTGTGGGACGGGTGGAGGGGGAGCAGGGGGAATGGGTGACCACGCTGGTTCTGGGCACCCAGGCCAGGGCAGAGTTCCCTTCCTCCAGCTTCCTTGGTTGGTAGAAACTGTCCAGGATGCTGTGGCTTGTTCCCAACTTGAGGCTGTATCCATACTTCCTGTTGCTTCTCCTTGCTGTGGCTCTCTCAAGGTTGTTCATACCACTTTTGGGCTGTTCTTGGCTATATCAGTTACACCTGCCTGTATCTCATTAGTCTGTTTGTGGTTCCCACTGAGCTGAAATTTCTGCTGAGTAGTCAGGGTGCTGCCCAGCCACCTTCCTACAGTTCCTGTTGCCAGATGAGCAAGTTGCCAGATGTCAGATTTGTTCAGCAGGCATTTAGCAGTGCTCCAGGATTAGTGCTGCCATCGTTTGCTGCCCTCTTTCTAGTGTACCTGTTCTCTGATGATCTCTGGTATTCCCCTGATAATTCTGCATCCATCCTCAGCTCTGTGCTCACTTTCTTGGGAGGAGCCTTTAAGCAAGGTGGTGTCTCTATAGCCTTTGCTGCTCCCATCCTGTTGCCATAAAAGGTGACTACCTAATGTCTGCCAATTTTTAAACAAGGATGACGCTGACAAACTACTGATGCCAACGCTGGGTCTTTGCAAAATTTCTTGAGGCTTAAATTAYGTAAATGAAGTGTTTACTATGTAATTTTTTCCAGAAAAATAAGCTTCCTGCCTAGAGGTACTAAGAGCTCTCCAGGCTATTGGGATGTGGTTTTCCTTCATGCATGCCAGACATTATCATAGTCAGGATCTGCGCTTCTGTTGCTCTAATGAGTTTACCTTGTACACATGTCAGAACCAGCATATAATTACCCAGCTGCCTCAGGGCTTTTCTTAAACACCAGCATGGCTCAAGCACCCTGCAAAAAAGCTGGAAACAATGACTATCCCTAGAAAGTTGCATTGTCTCTGAGTGCCATGCAGATACAGAGTCATGGGACGCTCTGTACCTTCCTTTCATGCCTGGTGGCTTTTCCTGCCTGATTTGTTCCTGTTCTTGGATGACTGAATCTTTTTAACCATTCCTCCCATGGAAGGTATTTCTTTTCCTGGGGCAATATTATCCCTTGAAGCCCTGGGGCTTTACCTTCCAAGTTGCACAAGGGGCTTTGGTGTGTCCAAACAGTTTCATCTCCCTCAAGGTATGTGTGAAATTCAGTTACGCCCCCATAGGTCTTCCTTGGTTGCTTAAAAATATATTACTTTTTCCTGGCAGGTAAAAGCAGCCCGACAGAGAAGGGAGAGGTGACGGCAGCAGCAGTGTGTGCCAGCTGCAAGGTGCCTGCCCATGGGCACAATACGCTTGAATTTGCCCTGGTTTGGGATATGCCCTGTGTTCACTTTGGCTCCAAGGAGAAGTTGCACCTCAGGTAGGTGGGTTATCTCCAGTGGTGTTTGGCTCATGAATCTAAAACCCCCTTTCTCCTCTTTCCTGGCTTGTGTACCGTGTGGGGAGCCTTGTGCAACCCATTCCCTGTGCCTGTGGCCCTGCCAGCTGAAGGAGGGGACCCTCTGCCCAGCCCCTGTTCTCAGTGTCCCTGCAGTAGCAGTTGAGTTTTTCTGCTATTCACTGCAATCCTGTGTTCCTCTGTGGTGTCCATGTGGGTTTCCCAGCTGGAGCCCATGAGGTGCCCACCAAACCCTCACTTGGCAGGAGGTACACGCGATTTTTTGGCAGCGAAGGCAATGCTGCACCTGCCCTGTCCCATTACGCTCTGACACACTACAAGGAGTGGGAGAGGAAGATCGAAGCATGGCAGAATCCCATACTGGAGAACAGGTATGGCAGATGAGAGCACCTTCCCAGTGGCGTCCTGGGGTTGGCTGCTGCAGGAGCAACACCACCTTGACCACTGAGGGTGAGTTTCCCTCTTTCCTGCAGCCAGCTGCCTTCCTGGTACAAGTCAGCCCTTTTCAATGAGCTCTACTTCATGACGGATGGGGGGACCGTGTGGATGGAGGTGCCCCCGGATTGCTGTGCTGAGGACCTGCAGGGGCCAGCAGGGGCTGGACTCTCACATCTCGTCCCTGTCCTGCGGGAATACGGAAGGTTTGCTTATTTGGAAGGTAACTCACAGGGATGAGAGGCATTCTCCCAACTTAACCCCTTTCATTACTGTAGCCATGTGTTTTTAACCTGCCATGGGGATGTTTATTACAATCCAGTGTCTAGGAAGCAGTGGTGTTCCCAGAAAAACCCCTTGCAACCCTGTAGGTTACAGCATGAGGTGTTCCTCAGATCACTGGTGCTTTGTGTAGAGAATGAAACCTCCTTGTGACAGGAGTCCCTGCCTGTGCTGGGAAAGATCCCACTGTCCTGGGCCACGTGGAGGGAGGAGCTGCCCCCCTTTTCCTGTCCCCATGGCAGGTCMCCTGTCCCTCACCATCTGCCCTGTCCTGCCAGGCCAGGAGTACCGGATGTACAACACCTATGATGTCCATTTCTACGCATCCTTTGCTCTCGTCATGCTGTGGCCCAAGCTGCAGATCAGCCTGCAGTATGACATTGGTGAGTGTCCCCAGAGACCCTGCCTTGGTGCCTGCTCAGGGCTTCACCTCAGGGAGAGATGGAGGRTTTGGGACAGGKCCTGCTGGACAGACCTGTGCCCTGGAGCCAGCATCCACCTGCAGCTGCTCTGCTGTGCCCCGCACTTTGCAGCCCCCARTGCTGCTGCCTCAGCATCTSTGTGCCCAGCACTGTGGGTGCCTTGAGCCATGTGAGGGTGCACAGCTGGTTCTGCCTGCCCTGGGGGAGCCCCTGGTCTTCCCAGCTCGGTCCTTGCCCCTTGCAGGGCAGACACAGAGCTGTGTGCAGACCCCAGTGCTCTGGCTCATCTTAGTGGCTGCTTGGTGGTGGTCCAAACGGGTGCGGAGCACAGCCCTTTGCTGGGCTGTGGAAGGGCCAAGTCCACTTGTGTCCGTTCTCAGCCCTTCCTTGAGGGGGTGGTGACAGTTGCATGACCCCTGCTRAGGCGAGGATGGGGAGTAGCCTGCTGTCCCCTCAGCCCTTTGCAGAGGGCCGTGATCCTGGAGCCCCAAAGGGCAGTCTGCCATGCTTGTGGCCCTGCCAGTTCCTGTGCTTCAACCTTTCTGCTGCAGTTCTTGCTGCCTTTCTAACATGTCTTGCTCGGTGTCCTCTGCAGCTGTCACTGTGGTCAATGAGGATGTCCAGCCCCGGCAGTACCTGATGGGTGGTCAGACAGCCCAGGTGAAGATGAAGAATGTGGTGCCACATGACATTGGGGACCCAGGTAAGGGGTCTTTTGGGCCTATGGAGGGCAGAGAGGATGTAAGGCTGTTCACACAACTCTCTTAGGGTAGTTTACTCCCAAGCTGTGGGAAATAGGTATGGTGCATGAAATACACTGTTGTCAAGCTTGGAACAGGCTGTTGGAAAAGTTGTGGTGTCACCATCCCTGGAATATTTAAAAGAAGTGTAGTTGTGGCACTGAAGGACATGTTTCAGTAGTGGACTTGGCAGTGCTGAGAAGTCTTTTCCAACTTAAATGATTCTATGATTTTGTGTTTTCTGGGAGTGGAAAGCTGGATGGTTTGGGGTCGGGATGAAGACTGCGTTGCATGGAGCTTGTACAAGGGAGACAGAAGGAAGTAGCAGGAAGGCTGTTCTTGCTAGAGATGGCACAGGGTATAACATTATTTCAGTGCTGTTTGATCACAGCACCATGGGGTTTTTGCTTCCATGCAGGAAGGGGGATGTTTCTTGCTTGCTGCCCTGCTGCATCTGGTGTATCCTTGTTTAGGTGACGAGCCATGGCAGCGTGTCAATGCCTACCTGATGCACGACACGGCTGACTGGAAGGACCTCAACCTGAAGTTTGTGCTGCAGGTGTACCGTGACTACTGCCTGACACAAGACTCCCTGTACCTGCAGGACATGTGGCCAGTGTGCCAGGTACTGGGAGATCAGAGCATGGGGCATCACCCTTTCCCAGTTCCCTCAGGAGCCAAGAAACATTATGAGAGGATGGATGCTCCTGAGAATGTTAGGGGCTTCCAGGCTGTAAGGGTTGCATGACCATCTCCTGCCTCTCCCACAGGCTGTGATGGAGTCAGAGCTGAAGTTTGACACGGATAATGATGGGCTCATTGAAAACGGTGGCTTTGCTGACCAGACATATGATGCGTGGGTGGTGCATGGAGCCAGGTGAGCAAGTGAGGCAGGTGTGGGTTGGACATTGGGGCTGTGGGGTGGGGACGTAGCTCAGAGCTGGGCCTTTGTATCCCTTTTGTCATGGAGCTCTTGAGGTGTCCCACATTGCTGATGCTTCTCTCCTTTGGTTCCGGCAGTGCCTACTGTGGCGGGCTGTGGCTGGCTGCCGTCTGCATGATGTGCAAGATGGCAGAGGTGCTTGGGGATCCTGAGGTCCGGCAGAAATACCTGGACATCCTGAACAAGGGCAAGGAGGCGTTTGAGAGGATGCTCTGGAACGGTGGGTGCTCACTGGTGGGGAACCACGCTCATGTGGCCACGCATCCGTTGTGGGGGTGGCTCCTCCTTTGAATCATGGGGCCCTTGTGGGGAATGAGGGAAGGAAGGGAGATGCAGCCCCTCTAAGTGGACAGGAAGGAGCAGGTGTTAGGGAGGGGGCAGGTATGGGAAAGGAGGAAGAGTTGTGGGAAAAGCAGCTGTGCTGCTGCCACACACACAGGGAGGTGTGTCGGGAAAACACATACAAGCCTGTATCCTAAACTATTGTTTTTAAACTGTTTCCTGCCTTTTCCAGGAAAATACTACAACTATGACAGCAGTGGAAGTGACACCTCCAGCAGCATCATGTCAGACCAGTGTGCTGGGCAGTGGTTTCTCGGAGCTTGTGGTCTGGACCAAGGGGAATTGGAGGTAAGAGAAGTGGCAGCCTGGTGTGGTTAGGGTGAGATGGGATCTGTGGCAGGAGGGAAGCAGCAGCAGGGCTGGCACGTGTTGGGTGTAACACCTTAGGGCTGGTGTGGGGTGCAGCTCCCTGCTCCCCCCACTGTGCACACTCCAGTGGAGGCTGTTGGATACAGTAGAATCCATTTTAAACCAAAATGCTCTCACAGAGAGGCCACGCAGCAGAGATACATAACTTCAGTTAGCTTTGGCCCCACTAGGGTTTCCTCTGGGCAAGGTGCTGTTTGTTTAAAAATGGTACAAGAAAGCCTGTGAAACATTCTACGTGTTATTTGCAGTCTTAAAAAATCCAAAATTAATGTCAGAGGGAACTACAGCTTATTCAGGGCCCTAAAGTCTGTTGCTCTTCAGCTGCAAGAGAAGAATTGACTGCAGACTCTCATCTCTGGTGCGATGGTCAGAGCAGCTGCTGCAGTACCTGGAAGAGAGATGGACAGTGCAGAACCCTTGGGTTATTTATGCCCTGTGGGCAGTTGCCAGAGCAAAGCTTTCTGGTGGAGATGGAAAGGCAAATGTCTGAGCTGAGTGAAGGGAGGAGCATCTTTGCCTGTGGGAGGGTGACAAACCACATCAGTCTGTTGGCAAATCATAGGGGAGCTTCAGGTGACTTAACCTGGTCATTCCCGTCTCTGTTTAATCCAGTGTGGGATTGGAGCTGTGCTTGGGGCTCCAGGCAGGATCTCACCCAGCCCTCCAGCAAAATACCCAGAATCTGGCCTGCCTTTCCCCAGTCTCAGACTGCTGCTGCTGAAGGTGGCACTTCTCCCTGCTCTCTGGTGAGCTCTGAGCTGACTGGAGGTGGGACTGGTGAATACCTCTCCTCTGTTCCTGTAACCATCCAGGGGTTTTTCCATGTATTTTGATCCATTGCCTGGATGGCATCGTTCCTCTTGGTAACCTCATTGCCRTGCCCTTGCTGTGTGCGCAGGTCAGCAGTGCACAAGTCAGAAATGCAACATAAGAACAGCCTGTGATGCAATCCTGAAGAAACTGCCCCAAAAGCTTCTGTCAGAGAAGGACACACCTGCCCTTTGCTGATTGCTGCAGCACTCCCTGAGCTTATCTCCAGAGCCACACTGGGGAACAATGTCTGCTGGGATGCTTGGTTTGAGCATAGAGAGATGGGATTTGCTGCTTTGCCTTGAGTCTGCCGAAACTGCCAGGTTGGGCTGCCCAGACTCTTGTGGCAAGGTCCTGCCTGGTGTCATCCCAGCCTCTGCTTTCCCTGGCTCTGGTGTCACTGGACTGAGAATAAGTGTCTGGCATGTCCCTGGGCTGTGCTGATGAGGCTTCTGGCTCTTGCCTCTCTTGCAAGTGATGACCATAAACCAGATAAGGATGGTGTGCTTGGCCACGCCCCCAAAGCAAAGCCCCAAGAGATGGGGAAGGGGCTTGGCTAGGGTCTGTGGGTGAGAAGCTGTTTTTAGAGATGCACTACTTGGATGAACTGTCAGCCTCCTCAGGAGGAAAGTGGAATGTCATTCAGCATCTTTCTGTTAAGTACTTTGGCACTTTTTTTCTCTTTTTGGGAAAAGAGGCTTTTCACTTCCACCTGTTACTTTCTTGAGGATGGAATTTGTTGCTATTGATCCAGTGAGCAGTGTTGCCCTTTTCCTCATGGAAAATTTAATCCAGCTCCAGACTCAACCTGGGTCCATGTGAGCACTGAGCCCATTCATCTGTGTCCACACAGGTTTTCCCCAAGAGCCACATTCTCAGCGCACTCAAGACCATCTTTGAGAAGAAYGTGCTGAGCTTTGCAGGTGGCACCATGGGAGCAGTGAATGGCATGAGACCCGACGGCGTGCCTGACACCTCCAGCGTCCAGTCCAACGAGGTGTGGATCGGCGTGGTCTATGCCCTGGCTGCCACCATGATCCAGGAGGTGAGTGGGGATGCTGGTGCTGCACTCCCAGCATGTGTTCCTTGCTGTCCGTGGATGTGCTGATGGTCCTCTTCCCTCTCCCGCAGGGGCTGGTGGAGGAAGGCTTCCGTACGGCGGAGGGCTGCTACAGAACAGTTTGGGAACGGCTGGGCATGGCTTTCCAGACCCCCGAGGCCTATCGGGAGAAGAAGGTGTACCGCTCGCTGGCCTACATGCGGCCCCTCAGCATCTGGAGCATGCAGCTGGCCCTGGAGCGCCGGGCTGGCCAGGCACCTGCACCTGCACAGCCCCCCCAGGGCCCCACCCAACCTTGAGCCTCGTGGCACCGGGCAGGGCACGGGGTGCATCAGGGGCGGGGGGACTGCAGATGGCAGGCAGGGATCCTTCCCTCCCGCTCTGTGCTAGTACTCACATTGCTGTTTTCCTTCCCTACCTCCACTACATGCCCTTGACCTCAGGGGGCTTTCAGCCGCTGATGCTGAGCACAAGGGGGGACCAGAGGTACGGGGAATGTCTCCTCAGAGGGGGATAGGTTAAGGAGTTGCTGCTGGAGCCTGTGCCTCCCCTTCCCCATCGCTCAGGGCTGTTGTAGCCTGCCTGTTCCCCAGCCATCCCAAAGTGCAGGTGGTACCTTGTCCCAAGGCACAGGAGACCTSTCTCCTGCCGTCAYTGGGCTGGGTAAAGTGGGGACCTGCCCTGCAGGAAAACCAAGGGTGTGGGTGAATGTGTGTGTGAGGATCTTGGACTGGTGCACTCAGGCACACGGATGCTGTAGTTGTCCTGGGGTGACACTGCACATACTGACTGGCTCTGCCCCAGGAAGGCCTGTGGCAGATACAATCCAGATACAATCCCCAGGGGAGACCCGGCCCCCTGGATGGTGACAATCTGAGCCCAAGAAGCAGGTCCTGGTCTGGTACCATGGCCCCCCTCCCTGCTGGCGCCGGGGGCAAGCAGTGGAGCACATTGAAGGGGATAAATCACTTCAGTTCTTAATAAATCTGTCCACCTGTCTACTCTGCTTCTTTGGTGTCTTCTTTCCAGCAGGCCGAGCCAGAGGAAGAAACCCTTTGAGCTCCTGTTTTCCTTCTTGGGTTGTGCTGGAGGGCTAGGGGGGGGCAGGGAGGGGACGAGCCCCAGTGGTGGCTGGCTCTTGTGGAGTTTTGTCAAAGGGAGCAGGATATGCCTTACCTTCACACTAGACCTGCTTCCGGCTTGGCTCCTGGCTTTATTCTGCCTTGCAGGCAGCAGAGGCGAGAGCATTCCTCCCGAGAAGGCCTCTGTGGGGAGCAGTTGAGCCACAGGACTAGGGGCCCTTGACTAAATTGAGTGCCCTTCTGCCCAGGGCTGGGCACCTTGGCTTCCTTTTCCTTCTTTCTCTGTCGCTGCAGCATTTGAAGGCTGTACCAGCCTAGTCTGGAAGAGAAAGAAGGGAGGGAACTCCCCCGCCTTTCCTGCTGTGCCCCCAGACACACAGATTTCCCTCGACAAGATAGATGCTCTGTCCCTTGCAGGGCGAGAGGGACACTCCAGTCCTACACTGCAGCAGGATCGTCTGCCTGCAGTGGGAGTAAAACAACTTGAACAATTCCCTATTCACAAAGCTACCAGCAGTGAAGGGAGAAAGGGATATCATACTGGTTGTAAAATGTGTTGAATAATGCTGAAATGAGTTGGACTTGTCAGTCCCAAAGTTACACACCCTGATAGTGATGTGAAGATGTGATAGAACTGGCAAAGAACCAAATAAGGAACCAGGCAGTGATACTATCAATAGTGTATCAATCAGCTGCTGAGCTGACACTGCGGACTTTTGGCACAAGCCTACTCTAGGGCAGGGTCTTCTGTCACACCCCTTCCCCACAGTGTGTGTGGAGATTCCTCCCACACGTGGGGATGCCCCTCAAGGTCACTCCTTGAGGCTGAACCAGTGATTYGCCCACAGTCAYTGGTATGGGTGAGTAACTTCAGGCTCTACTTTGTAATTGGTTTTGGTAGCTTTAATATAATTAATATTGCTTAAAAATAGTGAATCATACTGTAAAAAATACAGCTTCTAATACRTAGTAAATCATTCTTATCACGGTACTTTTGTCTACTTACCATAGTAAATAATTAATTTTTATAAAAATGTATCTGGCCTGCCATCCTCAATCCTGTGGTACTACGTTGTACAAAGTTTCTGTTACATCTATATAATCCTTTAGGCATAAACCATTGACAAAGTCAAAGACTATGTTTGGATCCAGCTGTGCCCAGACTCTTCCATGGGGAGGATTTTAGAATGCAAGGGAGTCCTTTTTGAACCTTGTGACTCGTGGGAGGCCTTTTCAATGAAGTTTGTCTGAAGCTCCTATTCTGCCTCTMCCAGACACACCCCATAACCCCATGTCTCACGTATTCTCCATGTCCCAMGGCAGGAGCAAATGTGTGGGGCCAGTCTGTGCCCTCAGTCAGGGCTCCTGTGGGTGCCATGGGGTATTTGGGGTACCAGCTGGCACGCTTCCCCCTCCCAACATGAGCAGGGGATCACTGGCACTGCTGTACCTGAGAACTGCCAGTGCACAGTGAAGCCAAAGGTGGGCTGTCTCTTGGCACCAGRGTGCTGCTGCRCTCCTTGCAGGGGTGACACCAGGATCTGCTTGTTGGTGGCTGCCACTGCAGTGTGGTAGGAGCCCGAGAAGGTCCCAGATGTGTTCAGGGTGAAGAGGGTCATGTAAGAACCCAGCCCTTCAGGTGACCTTGGGCTTGTGTGGGTGGCTCAGTGAGTGTCGAGGCACAGTCCCACTTCCAGCCTCCCTAAGCAATGGGATGCCCATCACATAGCACAGCCCCTCTGTGTGGCAGCTGGGACAATGGCATGGGCACCAGCTGGGAAAGCACCCCTACCTCTCTGGGCAGAGCAGGGCAGAGCTGGGGGTGCTGGGTACACCCCTATTGCAGGGGTAGGTGACAAAGAGTATCCCCAGGGACAGCACAGGCAGAGCTGGCAGCTCCATTGATCATTTACACTGCAATATGTGATGGCATGGCATAATGTGGACTGGCATGACACAGCGTGGCACACCTATAACATGCAGCCCCTCAGGCACCAATTCTGCATGCTGGGATGGCACAGGACAGCTCAGCATTGCACAGAGAACTATGCAGCACAGGAATGGCACAGCCAGGGTGTGCCGCCCCTCACCCTGCACCCCAGGACAGCACAGCACAGCACAACTCAGCATGGTCAGACTCTGCCCCAGGGCTGCCCTCACCTCCCTGCATGCAGCATTGTGGGGCAYGAGCAGGGCTGGGGAGAGCAGCAGCAGCAGCAGCCCAGGGTCCCCGTGGACACGGTGGCCCTGCACGCCACCAAGGTTCTGCTCCTTTTATAGCAGAGGGGGCGGAACCTCTTGCCAAGGCACACCCATGAGGTAGAAGAGCCCCAATCCCTCTGGCCAGTGATGAAGTCTGAGAGCAACAGTGGGGGAGATGGAAGGGAAGATGGCCTTGGCAAAAGGTCAGAAGGGCATTAAAGATATCACAGAGAGCACAGGGGAGGTTTGGGGATGTTATAAATATTCTGATAAAATAATTGATTTAATAATATAAAACAGTTGTGGTTACAAGTAGAAAATTGTGAAGTATAACATATGGGAGTGTTAGAAGTGCTGCGTTTAAAATACGCAGCCATACAACCACCCCCCAAGTAGTTCCTGGAATTCCTGTCTTTTTCAGGAAACTTTGGAGACTGTCATGCACACCAGTTAYGTGGACTGGAAATGTCCCACCCTTCCCATCTAGATTCACTATCAGGGATTCCAGCCAAATTTGGAAACACTCAGACCAT